GGGGAAGGGGTGTGCGAAAGCATTTCCCTAGAAGGCTTTTCTATAATACAAATTTACCACCCGTAATTTTATAATTGAGACATTGTAACTAGGGATCATGCCACCTGCCCAGGGCCTCTCCCATGCGAACTCGGTCTCCCTTTTTAATACAAAACCTGAATTCTGCTGACATGCTTTTATCTGCAGAAGGTTCTGATATCGGAGCTTGGAAGACCAGAACCACTGTTGAACCCATGTTGAAGGCTGCTAGCTGCATAGTTCAACGGTCAAAGTTGAGCATGTATTAAATAGAGAATTACTCAATTGGTCTATTGTTTTTCAAAGCTCACCGAATCAAAAAAGGGAGAAAGTAATTGCACAACATTTACATACTATTATTTTGTCCATAAGATGTTGACATTATTACACGCAGAATAGCAAAACTATTCTGGTATTCCCGAATATCCATGAACATATAAACATATTGCAAACTATGATGAGCGCTTCAAAAGCAATTTCTTGGCTAGAGCCACAATAGCACTACTTAGAATGAACTGTTTCTTCTAGTTTGTAATATATATATAAAATACGGAACTTTATTAAAAAGGGGGAAAGAAAAGGAGAGGAGACCATTAGTCTAGTTTGGTAATATCTGCATTACAAGCCTAAAACCCAAACTGCAAATCCATGCAATACGCCAATACCAGGTGTATTAAGGAAAAGTACAAACCATAGGTAAAAAAAGAACGAATAAATTTTGCAGTTCATTGCAAAATAGGATTTATTTCTTGTACACCCACATCAACTGGCCAAGTAATATAATTTATCATATGATATTTTGCATGCTCAAAAGATGCCACAATAACTAAAGTTTAGCATGCATTTTTCTCTTCCAAACTATCATCAAATTTCAGGATCGTACCTCATCTCCTTTCTTCAGGAAAACACCAGTGCCTTTGGGTTCGTATACCTGTTCTTCAGGAGGTTCTGGATGTAGCATCTTCTTCCATGGCCTATTTGTTCGCAGAGTTGGTTCAATGAAAAGCTGAAACATCAGAAAACAGTTTTGAGTCAAATAGAACCAGGTGAAGGCCACAGAGGGATCTGCAAATGGGTATCATCGCGTACTTCATCCACACTATCAGGGGGTCCGTCTTCAATGAGCTAGTAATTGAGATTTCTTATATGAGTTGTCCACACTCCTTATTATCTCTTGGTTGATTAATTATAGAGCCGTCGATATGGGTTTGACCCGTTGGGCCGGCCCAACCCTGTCCATAATTTAATGGTGTTGGGCTAAGATTTTTGGAGCCAATTCAAAAACGAGGCTTTTAAACCTGGCCCAAGTACGCCCGTGGCCCATATGCCATGAGCACCTTGAAAATATTTTTGAGTAGTTTGTTTTGAATATTGACTTTTAATGAATGAAATTTTGTCCTCCTTTTTTGTGTTTTATAGTAATCTATAGGAACAATGCCAGAAGTTATTAAGTTTTGCAAAAGCTTTCTATCCAACAAGTACGGTTAT